GAAACTGAATTTCTCAGGAGCCGCCTTTGCCTCCACTGCCTCCTCTGGTCTCTCCCAGTCAACATGTAGAACAAGGACAGAAACTCAACCATGCTTCTCAATATTTCTCTTTTCTCCTCCTTCTCTTTCTCTTTCTTCTTCTTTTTCTCCCGCTCTCCTCCTCTCTCTTTTGGGGATAAAGAAAAAAGCACAACTTTTTTCTTTAAAAAAAAAAAAACAGGACAAACTTCTCTTCTAAGGGGATGGAGAGTGGATCCTCCAGCAGACTCCTTCTCCAGTTGCTTTTCCAACATGGCAATAGCGGAGGAGAGAGGTCTCACACTTTCACTTTTACTGATTGTCCAGAGGAAAGCAGTTTTCTTCCAGGAGGCCAAAATGACGGCCCCCAAGTAGCTAGCTAACATAGACGCTACCTAACATTTCCCTCCTCAAAGGCCAACTTTGTGCTGGGGGCCCTCCTCCCCTCCCGTGGCGCATTACAAAACAGTGTTCTTTTGAAATGTTCGTCAAAAATAGGCTTTTTAAAAAATGTTGTGTATCTGTATATAGTATTGTGATGTCTGAATGACAATGTATTGAATGCAAAAAGAAAAAACTCAAACCTGTTTTTAAAATAAAATTTTTTTTTCGGCCTTGATTTTATTGCTCAGATTCTTTCTGAAGCCCCGCTGTCTACTGGCTCTTTGGAGAAGTCTCTGATGCTCTGACCCAGCCAGAATAGGCAGAGGAAGAGTGTAGACATCACCCCCAGCTGAGAAGATCCCAAACTCTTAGTTTGTTCCATTTAAGTTTTTTTTTTTTTTTTAAACTTTGGGTGGTTGAAACTATCTAGACAGGAGAAAACTTCTTCCCATCCTGGTGCCCCATATAGATGAGGACTATATGTTGGGAATAGAAGGGTGTAATCAGTGGCTGAAAAAGCCTGGGATCAGGTAAGTAAGAAAAGTACACTGACGTTTACTTCAGTTAATAGTTGGAGCTCAGATCTGGTTCTGGTGCTAAGAAGGCAGTATCCCAGCCAGGAGCTGGGTATTGTGGAGGCAGCAGTGGGGCGCTAACCATAGTCTCCTGAGGCCCTACTGCCCCCATGAGATCCCAAATCCCTCCAGCCAATTCAGGGCTGGGGCTAGGAAGGGGTCTACACAGCCCTATCAATTTCCTGCCCTATCAATTTATGCAGAGATGTCGGGCCACTAAGACCCCTTGGGACCCCAGTTGGCTAAGCCAACCCTACTTTTATTCTCCAGTGTTCCTGGAAAACTCAGTCTTTCAAAAAATCAGGAGCCTTATAGACTCTGCCACTAATTTGTTTTCCCTGTCGCGTCCCGTCCGTCTGTGCCTATCTTCCTATCTGGCGGAGTTAATGAGATCGTTAAATTGTCAGGTTAAGAGACTTTTAAAAAGCAATATAGCCTAAAACAATGTTATCTCAGATTAAATCTTTACTGCAGCAATTTTTATTTATATATAATTTTTTCCTCTCCCAATACACAGAAAGACTGGAGGCACTGGGTTGGAAATCAGAGTTTTCCCATCTCCCTTTGCCTGATGGCTGAAGTTTTTAATTTTTTATGTAAATAAATGTTTGGGGGTGAAACACACAAACAGAGGGAGTATGAAAGACAAAGAACCTGAAGAATTCACTCTGTGGAGGCTTTGCTACTGATGTGACGCCAGTCCTGTTTAACTCTGTTTCAACTCTGGGTTAACTACCAAAGAATCACATGCAAGGCAGTAGAGATTTAGGAGGGAGTAAGTGATTTCCCAGGAATAAGTTTCATTCTTTTTTTTAAATGTTCATCTCCCTTCTCTCTTCCCACCCACCACTCTAACCTCTGCCCAAAACCCCAGCATGTCCCTGAGATGGAAAGAGTTGAAGATTAATATATGTTTGGTCAGAAAATGGAAGTGAGTATACAGGAGGCCTGGGGCTCCCTTAATATGGACCCTCACCCCTTTTGACTTGAATGGGTGCATTGGGTAGTTCCACAACACAGTGTAGACACAGTGGAAGTTGGAGACAAAGTGAGGAAAGAGAAGTCTAGAGTTCTCCGAGGGATCCCCCACTTCCTCACACAAACCCACACATAGTAGTCAAATGAGCGAATCTTCCCACACACAGAGGGATCCATGCTAAGGCTCCAAAAGAAGGTGATGGAAAAGAGGAGAAAGCTTATGCAGGCTCCTTGGGGTTGCATTGGGATTCCAGTAATCCAGTGCAAAGACTGAAGTCCCTCTGAGTCCCAGTGTGCCAGGGTGTTTAGGACCCTCTCATGCCCTGGATTAAATACATCTGGATGGATTTTTGGAGAATTATCATGACTGAATCAATTTTAAAGAGCTGCCTCTTCCATAAGAGTAAGTAAGCATGAGAATGGAAATGCTCTTGTGAGACAGGTATTGTGAGTGTGTGTTCTAGGGAGGCAAAGTGGGAAAATGTATTATTTTTTCCTGATCAAGTTGGTCCCTTACCTTTCCTTCCTCCAAGAGTTTGCATTCTTACTGGGGACTCTGCAAGACATTCCTGTGAATGTGTGTATGTGTGTGTGCACGCACACTCACACACATGTGTGTCTATAGAGCCTTTGACCAGTGGAGAATTTTCTCAGTCTTTACTGCCTGTGTGTGCAGCTGTGTAAGTAGGAGTGAGAACCCCAGCACTCATCCCAGGGTATAAAATGTGTTTTCTGTTCTTTATTTAAGTCTATAAAAAGTCTTTCTTTCCAAGGCTAGTCTTCTAGTGTTTATGGGAAAGCGAGGCTGTAATAAATACAAGGGTGCAAGGGGCTAGAAGAGGTCTAAAGGGCTGTGAGCACAGAGGCTTCCCCTGGAAACAGTCCTTATCCTCTGGGACTGAGGCTTCTGCTATTTTTCATAATCTGATGGCACCCTCCACTCCTCATGCCCTCTGAGGCCAAGACAGGGGACCTGGTGGGCTGGAGCCTCACAGGACTCTCCATCTGGAGGTCATTCTGCCCTGCTGGCAAGGAGGGCTCAGTTACATCTTTCTGAGCTTGGGGGGAAAAAATCTCTTCCCTACTCACATTTTAGTCCCCAGACCTAGAGCTGGGCTTTTCAGTCGGTAGTCTCACAGTCAGGAACCCACCTGAGAGAGCAAGGCCAGCAGTTCTCTGGGGATCCCTCCACAACGGTCTCCAGACCATCTGCTCCTGAGGCTGATCCACAGACGGCTGGATTAGCAGGCCAGTATGGGCATAAGGCAGGAACAGCCCCTGGGACATTCTCCATCTTTGAAAGGATTGGAGCTGGGGACCCTGCAGCAGCCCCCTCTATTCAAAAGAGAACTCCCCACCCTAGGATCCACCTGGGCCCTGCTTGGATGGTGTCGGAAACCGCCCCCTCAAAAAACTCCAACTGCTGATTCAGGCAGATGTGTGTTTAGACCTGAACTGCTGGAGGATTGCGGGGCCCTGGGGAGCAAGGGGCTTCTGGGAGGAGGAGGGGGCCAGAGTCTTTTCGCAACCAACCAGGCTCTTCCTCCTTTAGCCTTGACCGTGACTAGGTCTTTCTGACCTTGACATCACAGGGAGCACAGAGAAGGGGGGAGGGTGGAAAAGGCCTTGATCTTCCGGTGGCCAGAGAAGGGGAGGGCCGCTCGCCCCCTTGACGCGCAATTCCCCTTCCCGCCAGAGCCCGCCGCCTCTGTTTACACACAGAGGAGGTGTCCTCTCCAGTCTAGACAGGGGCGCTAATAACGCCCATAAAAGGCGGCCTCGCCAGAGATGCTCGGCAACTCAGCTCCTGCGCGCCTACCGCTGGTGGCTCCCTCCGCCTCCTCCGCCCCGCCCTCAGATACCCCTGCTTGGCCTGCGGTCGGCCTCGGGGAGGGGGGACCCAGAGGGTTTCTGGAGGCTGAGAACCCCCGCCTCGCACCCTTCTGAACCTCTTCTGTCTCCAAAGGTAAGGCGACCCCAGCTCTCCTGTCCAGCCAGCCTTGGGATTAGCAGCACATCTTCTCACCCCCACCAGCCTCCTAGGTCGGTTGCCTCCTCCTACTCCAATCCGCCCGCGCCCCTCACCCTGTACTGGGGGCTTGGATTTGGAGAACATTTGGATAGCTGGGTAGAGCACAACCTAAGCAGATCTCAGCCGCACCCTAGAAGCTAGGCCTGGCCAGAAGCCATGGTCACAACGAGCTGCCAACTGTGGGGCAGGGGCTACTGGGAGTAGTCACCCCATACGGAGCTTCGAGGTCCGCTGAGACCAGTGTGCGCCCCCTTACTTACTCACCCTCCACCCCTACCCCACTGGCGCTCCGGGATACTGGCAGGCGGCTGTGGGTGTGGCGTTTGTGGGGGGGTGTTTTTTTTTTTTTTTTGCTTGACTGGTCGCTACACCTTTCTTGACACTCCGTAATTCACTAGGCGGAGGAGATCCTCTGCTGGCGGAGGGGGAAAATGTCAGAGCCGCGAAACTATTTAACTATTAGCCTGCCGAAAGGACAGAAACTGGGGGAAGATGTCCCGTTTAGAAATGCTCAGGTGAGAGGTGGAAAGGTGGTCTCCCAATTTTCTTCTTAAGTCCTGGGCACCCCACGGGAGGCCTGGAAATCTGGTGGGCTCCAACGCCTGGAGGAGCTAGTGAAGCAAAGAAAGAGGAGACTGAGCCCCCTACCTCCGCCCCTCAACAAAGATCCTGTCCCAAGCCTGAGCTGCCCCCAAAGGACGAAATAGAAGGGATTGAAAGGTCAGGAGGAGGCCCAAATCGTCCACATCCCCCGCTTTTCATCTCCCCTCTCACTGCCAGCCCAGCTCCTACCTACAAGGCCCCAGGGTCTGCCTCTTTTCATACGCAGCAGAATCGCTTTCTGCAAACTAGACAGTGACCTTGAACTGGGCCACTGCGGCTTCTCGATTGACAGGGGAGAAGGCAGTATCGCACCGAATAATTCTGACTTCG